TGTTGGACAAGGAATGGGGAGACACAGGATCTAGGCCCTTTTAGCATCTAGGCCAGCTGCTTTCTCTCACCTGACCTATCTCTTAAGACTGCGGAACAAGAAGATGGGGGAGCATTATCTATGCTACCTTCAGTTCAGATGCAAAAGTCAGAATATACACATAAGTAAAAGAACAAAGCCCTCATCCCTTAATTATCTTCCCTACTGTCCAAAAGTGGACTGAAACTTCTCTGGAAGCCAAGCCTGCTTTATTTCCTGTTTGATTGTAAAATTTGTTCTCTAAAGCGTCATTTATACATTGCAGTTCTCTGCAGTAATAATCTGAGATCAAAATACTGAGGGCTGAACTAAAACCCAGTACTTTTAAAATCTAGCACTACAAGAATGGAAAAAACATTCAAAGGTAGTCATTCATCCATTGCTTTCTTTCCTCTGAATTCAAAATCCCATTACAGGAAGAACTTGACAACAGAGCCCAAAATTTCTGTTGTTAAGTGAGAGGTTTGTTAAGTGAAATTGGCCCCATTTTATGACCTTTCTTGCCAGAGTTGTTAAGTGAATCCCTGCAGTTGTTAAATTAGTGGTACAGTTTGTTTATTTATTTATTTTATTCAATTTACATACCGCCCTTCTCCTAGTGGACTCAGGGCGTTAAGTTGTTAAGTTGTTAAGGGAATGTAGCTTCCCCATTGACTTTGCTTGTCAGAAGCTCGCAAAAGGGGATATGACACCGGCCCACTGCAACTGTCATAAATGTGAGTCAGTTCCTAATTGTCTGAATTTTTGACCATGGGGATGCTGCAATGGTCATAAGCATGAAAAATGGTTATAAGTCATTTTTTCAGTGCTGTTTTAACTTTGGTCACTAAATGGAACTGTTGTATTTCGAGGATTACCTTTACTAATGATAAAATAATTCAATTTACATTAATGCATGTTATTAGCAAAGCAGAATGAATGCTATAATTAGGCTAATTTAAATACATTTGACATTGTTGCATTAATGTATATATGCAGATAAAATTTCACACTGTGTTGTACAAAAATCTTATAGTAATTCTAGTGTATATGTAAACTGGTAGCTGAGGTTAACCCTGGGTCTTTGCTGCCCCCTTGTGAAAATTCAGCTCGGCTGCACATTCTACCTACATCTTAAGTTTCCACCTGTTTTCAAACCATTTCAAAATAATTTATTTTTACATATAACAAATAAAGTGTCACTGTGTGCACAATGTAAGTTTTTTTTTAAGAAATCAAATAGTTGCCCTGCCCCAGAGGCCAAGAAAAATTAGCATAAGGAGCTGTTTTCGTACTGAACTGTTTTAATCCTCACATTTCACATTGTGTCAGTGAATTTTAACTAACAGTGTTAAAATATACAATTAAAGGATTAGAGATTTTATTTAAAAGGACCCCAACAATATATTCTGCAAACATATGTTAAATGATGATAAAAGTATAAAGAGGAGGTTATGCACTCAATTCTAAAATAGAACCAAGTAGTACCAATAAAAGGGACGCTCGGTGGCTCAGTGGCTAAGACACTGAGCTTGTCGATCAAAAGGTCAGCAGTTCAGCGGTTCGAATCCCTAGTGCCGCGTAACAGGGTGAGCTCCCGTTACTTGTTCCAGCTTCTGCCAACCTAGCAGTTCGAAAGCACGTAAAAAATGCAAGTAGAAAAATAGGGACCACCTTTGGTGGGAAGGTAACAGCGTTCCGTGCGCCTTTGGCGTTGAGTCATGCCGGCCACATGACCACGGAGACGTCTTCGGACAGCACTAGCTCTTCGGCTTTGAAACGGAGATGAGCACTGCCCCCTAGAGTCGGGAACGACTAGCACATATATGCGGGGGGAACCTTTACCTTTACCTTTAGTAAAGAATCAAGTAGACGTGATGAAATTTATGCCCTCTGCTTCTTGAATACTTATGCACAGGAAATTTAATCAGATGGCTGTCTGAAATACAGAATATGATGAGAAAAAAAAGCTGATACTCTTATCAACATTTCATTTCCAGAAATGATTTTATCATAGTCCCCAATGGAAATCTTTTGAGGTTCCACTGTGTGAAAATTTGGAAGCGTTCATTTAAAAAGTGCATAAGGAAAACAGTAAATCTCAGCCACTCTCTTTTAATAAATTGTACGTTTAGTGGTGATGCAAAGTTACAGTCTTGCTCCTTCATTCTTGTCCTTGAAAACATTCTTCTTCATTTAAAAAAAAGCATAAAATCCACAACTGGATTGTGATTTTCACTTACTATCTGAACAAACGGCTGCTCGATAAGTTTGAATGAAATAAGTCTTCTGCAAAATTATGGTTGCTGCAGAGGATAGACAAACCCAAGAGACTGTGGGAAGAGACAGTCAAAGTTCATAAGCCATCTTATTCACATAACTACAGTTTAGTATTCCATGCAGTAAAATCCTTTAGAGTTCTAACTTCTTCGGCACTCATTCTTCCTACTCACCCGAACTTTGCATTGTCATTTTTAATAAAATGACTATTTCAAAAGCGCATTCACCCTGCAGGTCTGCCATATTTTCCATGCTCATTTTTTAACATACTTCTTCCTATCACTCTTCATTGCCCGTCACTGTACACTTATCTTAACCGTCTGGTTGAATAACACAGAATTTTGATTTGTAAAGTCTATCATTAAAGATAAAGGAATGTCCTCTTCTACACAGCTACCAAAAAAATTGCATAATCATTTCTTTCTCGACCCCACGGTCCGGAGGTGAGTTTCAGCAGGTTCTGACCAGTTCTGAAGAACCGGTAGCAGAAATTTTGAGTAGTTCGGAGAACCAGTAAATACCGCCTCTGACTGACCCCCCCCCCATCTATTCTCTGTCTCCCGAGTCCCAGCTGATTGGGAGGAAATGGGGATTTTGCAGTAACCTTCCCCTGGAGTGGGGAGAGAATGGGGATTTTGCAGTATCCTTCCCCTGGAGTGGGGAGGGAATGGGGATTTTGTAGTATCCTTCCCCTGGAGTGGGGAGGGAATGGGGATTTTACAGTATCCTTCCCCTGCCATGCCCACCAAGCCACACCACACCCACCAAGCCACACCCACAGAACCCGTAGTAAAAATTTTTGAATCCCACCACTGCCACGGTCACATGATTAAAATTTGGGTGCTTGACCAACCGGGATGTATTTACAACAATAGCAGTATCCCTGGGTCGTATCATCACCATTTGAAACTTTCCTGGCGACTTCTGATAAGCCAAGTTAATGGGGGAAGATGGGTTTGCTTAACAACGGCAGGATTCACTTAACAAATGTGGCAAAAAATGTCATAAAATCGGACACAACTCATCCTGCTTAGAAACAGAAGTTCTGGTTCCAACTGTGGTTCTAACTTGAGGACTCCTGCATTTCTAAATGTGAAATGCCTCCCCTCCCCCCCGATTCTCTTTTTTCATGGACACCCTGAATAATTGACAAAAACCTCTACTGCAAAGATAGATCAACTGAAATGGAAAGTCATTTACTTATACAACTTCATTCATATGGCAATTTTAGCAAAAGACCTTGCCCATTTACTGTATGTTAGTCTAAGGCAGTGCTGAAATGCAAAATTTGTTACTACCGGTTCTGTGGGCGTGGCTTGGTGGGGGAGTGGGGGTAATGTGACTGGGTGGGCATGGCCAACTTTTTTTTTTTTAACTTTTCAAAGCATTTTTTTCTACAACCTCTTTGGGTAAGAGGTTGTAAAAAAATGCTTTGAAAAGCCTCTGACGATCCCAGCTGAGCTGCGTGATCATCAGAGGCTAAAAAAAAGAGCCTCTGATGATCGCGCGGTTCAGCTGGGCATGGGGGGGGCACAGGAATTTTTGCTACCGGTTCTCCGAACCACCCGCCGCCATCACTACCGGATCGGGTGATCCGGTCCGAACCGGGAGCATTTCACCCCTGGTTTAAGGTGGGAAAAAATCTCAAACTGCTTGAAGGAATTGTTGTATTTGATCACCCAAAGGTGGAGAATCAGGGTAAACACAATGCAATAATGATCACATAAGCCAAATTATACGAACTGCAATTAACTCCTTTCCAAACTCCATGCTCTAACTGAAAGGATTTCTTTCTGTCCTTCAAATTCCAGACAAGGAATAATGGATAGAAACTGAACAAGGAGAGATTCAACCTAGAAATAAGGAGAAATCTTCTGACAGTGAGAGCAATCAACTGATGGAACAGAAGCTGCTTTCAGAAGTTGTGGGAGCTTCATCGCTGGAAGCTTTTAAGAAGAGACTGGACTGTCATCTGTCAGAAATGGCGTAGGATCTCCTGCTTGGGCAGAGGATTGGACTAGAAGACTGGTTAGACTGGAAGGTCCCTTCCAACTCTGTTAATCTGTTAAATGCAATAACCTTTGTCCCGTAGCTCTTTTCACATCAAGGAAGAAGACTAATCTCAAAAATATTCAGTCCCAGACAGTGCTTCAATAGATAGCTTGGCTAGTCCAATAACAGAGAGGGGAAAGTTTTCCAGAGTGTTACTGCATTACCGTATTTTTCTATATGGACTATAAAATGCACCGGACTATAAGAAGCACCAAGATTTTGAAGAGGAAAACAAGAAAACAAAGTTTTTGCCCTCCCCAGGAGCATTCTGCAGGCCTCCCAAACCCTTTGCGAGTTCCATTTTTGTGAAAAATGGCCAAAAATGTGACCCGGGGGGTGGGTGGGTTGGGAGGCTAAAAATGGCTGTATTCGGTGTATAAGACGCACCAACATTTTCACCCTCTTTTAGGGGAGAAAAAGTGTGTCTTATACTCTGAAAAATACGGTACATCATAACAACATTTACAAGGAAGGAAGGGAAGAGAAACAGAAGCTTCCTTGAAAGAGATTTAATATTAGAGGTGATCAGAGCCTTTTTTTAAAAAAATGTAGTATTTATAACTAGCAATTCAGATAGTCCTTGATTACAGCTTATCTTTTTTGTATATTTTTTTGAAAGCCAATAAAATCAAAGTAATTAACTTTCCTACCTGAGGTAGCACTGCTGGTCTTTGTCCTGCCAACCTCAGCAAGGAACTGACCTGAGGAACTTTAATCGGCACTGAAGTAATGGCGCCCAAAGCCTGCCGGGAAAATTAAAAGGAAAAAAAAGTATTTATTATTCAATTTATCAATGTCATTGGTTCAGGGCTCAAGACTTTGCGTAACCCAGAGAGAAACATAAAAACCGGGCCACGATAAGACAAGTTGTCACCTGTAAAACCCCTATCAAACACGTTAATCCTTTCAGGGTTCAATCCAGAGGTGAAATCCAGCAGGTTCTGACAGGTTCTGGAGAACCGGTAGCGGAAATTTTGAGTATTTCGGAAAACCGGCAAATGCCATCTCTGGCTGGGCCCAGAGTGGGGTGGGAATGGAGATTTTGCAATATCCTTCCCCCAGGAGTGGGGAGGGAATGGGGATTTTGCAGTATCCTTCCCCTGCCACACTCACCAAGCCACACCATGCCCACCAAGCCACGCCCACAGAACCGGTATTTTTTAAAAAATTGAATTTCACCACTGATCCAATCAGATAAACAACCAATATTGAGAAGCTAAAATCAGAGTGAAGAAATATTTCCAAAAAAAACACCACCATTTCCTTCTCAATCGCCTTTCCTTCTTAGTCCCACTTTTCTTTCCCCCAATAAACCAGTTTATTTCATCAGCTAATGAGTTCCAGAGAACAGAAAAATACTTAAGAAAAACAAAAAGTGCCGAGAATTTTTAAAAATAAAAAGAGAAAAAGAACAACTCAGCCAAACAGTTTCTTTGTGTAGCTAAATTCATTTCTCTTGGTACCCGAGGTGCAGGAAAGGATGTTTTCCAATGAAGTTATCATTAGTTCTGTCACCTACATCCTCAGAAAATGCCATCAATTTATTTCCCTTAAGAAGTCTGCTATTACCTCTGAGGAGAATGGAGGCAAATTATGGTATTCTTCACTTATTAAATTTTTAGTGCTAAACAATATGTACTTAAAGTTTACCAGCCTCTTAATATTAAAACTTGGCTGTTTAATATTCAACAAGGGAGGGTATTAAAAAAATACCCTCAGATCATCTCTGATGTTTATTTCTATTATTTTCTGTATGCCTTTCTAATACGTGACTTCTATCTGGATTTTGCTGATGAGCTGTCCAGCGGATTCTGCACACAGCCATCTTAAAATTGTATGTGTTGATTATTATTTTTTTTTAAAAAATGTTTATTTTATTTATCAGTCCGCTGAGGATGGTAGAAAAAACCCAGGTGAGTAATAACCAGGAGATAACATAATAATATGAAAAATCCCAATGTATATTGCTCATTTATTTATGATTTCCATCCAGCCAAACATTTTAAATACTATTGATTTCAGCTGGAATGAGTTAAGCATATGCAGATGATCTCAACGCAGCTCACAAGGGCAAAAAAACTGGCTATTTACGATGTAGCTCTCAGCATGACTAAAAAGGGGAATAAAAGCACTCTTCAGACCCTCCTCATCATGGGAATTGCTACCATTTCAGGTGGAGGGTGAGAAAGATAGTGCTCCATTTAATGTAGAGAAATTTAATGTAGAGAAAAGTAAGATTTTACACTTAGACAAGAAAAACCAAATGTGCAAGTACAGATTAGGTGGTACCTGGCTCAATATAGCAGTAACGGTGAGAGGGATCTTGGAGTCCTAGTGGAAAATCACTTACTTACTTACTTACTTACTTACTTACTTACTTACTTACTTATTTATTTAACTTTATTTATAAAATGTATTGGCTGCCCATTTTACCATAAGGTAGCTCTGGACAGCTTACAGTCAAAGTATATTTATACATTAAAACATAAATAAATGAAAAGCTAAAATTAAAAACCAAGGACATGTAGGGAGGGTAGGGATAGAATGGGGGAGGTAGGATCTGTTGTTACTTGGTCAACCCCTTCCATTGTATCATTCCTCCCACTGGAAGGAATATGACCCAGAAGTGTGCAGCCGCCACCAAAAAAGCCAATGCAATCCTTGTTCCATAAACAGAAGGATAGAATCAAGAAGTACCACCTTCTATAACCTTAGTAAGACCATACCTGGAATACAATATCGAGTTTTGGTCACCACATAATAAAAGAAGAGGTTGAGACTTTGGAAAGAGTGCAGAGAAGAGCGACAAAGATGATTAAGAACCTGGAGACTAAAACCTATGAAGAACAATTGCAGGAATTGAGAATGGCTTGTCTGGTGAAAAGGACTAGGGATGACACGATAGTGTGGTTCCAATATTTGAGGGGGAAAGGGGGAGTGATTGGCCCAAAGTCACCTGGCTGGCCTTCATAGGTAAGGTGGCACTTCAACTTTAAGACTCATGTGAGATAAAGCAAAGCATATATGGAGTTGTGCACAACTATAACACCCATCCTACGTTTTAAAATCTCAATGTGAAGGCTAGTTCTATTTTTCATCACCAGATTTTACATACTGTGTAGGTCCATTTAATCTACAATCAACAATCTATAATTGGCAGCCATTTCTATTTACTATCCTGGAAATTTACCTCTGCTGTTAGATCTTGTTTTATCATGTTATTCATGCTATCGTATTTTTATTATTAGCTGAATAAAAAAAATACAATAGTATGAACAGCTTTTCTGCCTGGAAAAGCAATTTACTATTAAACAATGGGATGTAAATTTAGAAATAAAAAGTTTAATGGAGTATGAAGGATAAGTAATAAATCTTTGCCAGTCGTATCTGGTAGAAGACATAGGAAAATGGTTATAGTAAAGAACTGTGGAAGGAAAGAAGAGAAGGGGGGAAAAATGCATCTTGAGCCTCTGTCAAATGCCCACCCTGGCCACACCCACTCTGGCCACGCCCATTCCAGCCACTACCACCACCTGGCTCTCCGAGGCCAAACACAACCCTGATGCGGCCCTCAATGAAATCGAGTTTGACACCCTTGCTATAATGCATTATGCACAGGGCTAATCTTGAATGTATTCCAAGTGTCTCAAGTAGTACAGATTTTGGATACAGGAATTCCGTCTGCCTTATCCAGGTGAAGGATAAACTGTGTGTAACCAGTTCAAAATACTACTTTTCTATGCAATGGACAATGAGGACTAGCTCTGCTATTAAAAATTTCCCTTCGGGCATGGTTTCTGCCTTATCAAACTAAGTTCAGCCCAACATCTTGCTAGAATCAAGATAACCCCTTCCAATTTTTCTATTCCTTGTAGCATTGTGATTATTTCTGGAAAGCTTCACACAGAAATTTGGCTACCGCTAATTCTACCAATAAAAACTCTCAATATATTTGGCTTAACATCTAAATGAAGAGCAAAAAAGCAAGTTTCTAGCTTACATATTAGCAAGAATTTAAGGAGCTTTATGTCATATCTGCTCAGTTGGAAGTTGACAAGGACAGAAGATAAGAGCACTGAAGGACACAGGGGCTTAGACCATCAAAGCTGTGGTAAAACTGAATTTCTTTGTGAATTCCCAGCTCAGTCTAAGCAGAATGGCCTAGTATCTGTCCTTATTTTGTATTTTTATGAGAAGAGGCTCATAAATAAACTGGGAGTAACACTCATTCACTATACAGGTAGTTCTTGAATTACAACAACAATTGAGCCTAGAATTAAGGTCATAAATCATGCTGGTCATTAAGCAGATTATCACATGACCATGACCGATTTACAACCTATTTCGTGGTTGTTGTGAATGTGGCAGTCATAAATGCCACGGTGGTTAAGCAATCGCTGTGGCTCTTAAGCAAACCCATCATCTGCACGTGAGCGTCTTTTGCCGGACACAGGAAGTAAACACCCTTTCCGACAAAAAAAAAATGTCATAAATCATGTTCATGTGATCACAAGACCCTGAAAATGGTCATAAATGCTGGCCAATTGTTGAGCACTCAAGATCCAAGCACATGATCACAGTGTGTGTGTGTGTGTGTGTGTGTGTGTGTGTGTGTGTGTGTAGATCAGACCTTCAAATCCAGGTCTGAAGCAGGAGTGGGTTCTACTTACCTTTACTACTGGTTCACAATGGGAGCGCGCATGCGCGCTTGCTTTGCTCACACTCATACTTCTGCTTAGATCACCAAATATGACGTCAGGCCGGGTGGGCAGAGCCTCCTGCCACTTTTATTACCGGTTCTCAAGAACCGGACAGAACCGGGAGCAACCCACCACTGGTTTGAAGTATCTTTTGGGGGCGTAAACTAAGTAACTCTGAACTGTTGCTAAGTGGCCGGTCATAAATTGAGGATTACTTGCATTTCTACCAGCACCTGTCTAAGCTTTCACCCAGCCAGATTTGAATGATGCAGGTTATTTCTCCATCCAACTGCAATGGCATTCTTTTCCTGGTTTCCTGTTCTGATTTTGCCTTCTGTTTCTGGGAATAAGGCATCTTTTTTCCTGCTCTTTTCCTTTTGTTAAGAGAGAGTAAACCCAGTGCTTGTTCTTATGAACCTTTAATTAACAATCGAAAAAGACATTTTTTCTGACAATGCCTGACCTTTAAGTGCTTTGCATGAATTTATGGATACCAGCAGAAACAATAATTTTAAAAGGTTATTTTATAACTGCAGAATAGTTTATAGTAGCACTTTTGTCGAGATAAATTAGTTTCTTATTACTACATTTATGATGTTAAGCTTTTTAATAAAAAAAGGACTGTAAGAGTCAAACGCTAAACTCAAATCTGTTGTATGGCTGCAGACTCCATGCAGTGCCCCCCCACCCCCCCCGGCACACCCCTACAATACTGTTCTGTACTTCGGAGGAAAATGCTGGTATATGATTATGTCACTCTTCTATTTGTATGCTCACAACAGCCTCAGATGAGAGTTTGTATAAAGAAAAAAGAAAACAACCAGAATGGACACCAAAACTATTTTATAAAATAATAATGACAATCGGAAGTGAAAAAGAACAGCATTAATCCCCACTCATCCAAAACTGGCAATATCACTTATTCAACAGCCTAATAACCAGGGGTGGGCTTCAAAAACTTTAGCAAGGGGTTCCCTGCCCGGTTGCTGGGTGGGCGTGGCCTAGTTGGCCTCCTGCACCACGGCAGGAGAGGGCATTTTTGC